GTATTGGATATTACTATTATTATCCTTACACATATATTTTTTCTAAATACAACTCGTTTTCCAGACATGTATCCTCGAGATTCTCATTGAGGGATATTCAAAGGATACCTGACTGGAGGGGGGTTTTACATTCTCCCTCCACCACATTAAATGCGCCCACGTCCGCATTTGATGCTCTGATAGAGAATGTCATTTCAGCATGGCTTGCATTTAATGCGCATGGCTAGCACTTATTGTGCATAAGGCACGTCTGTCAGAACAGAAGGCATTTCATTAAATGCACCTACAAGCAAAAGTGCAACGGAAAAAACACCTGAAGAGGTCGTTATGAAAAACACTCTTCATCTTGTAAGTTGTGAAGCGACGTAACTCCTCAATCTCATCTCGTCAATCACAAAGCGACGCCACCCCTCGACCTTAACAGACATCAGTTGGGAATCAACGTGATCCTTTGTTCTTAACAAAACCTGCTAAGGGTAATTAGGTCGCGGAATTCAGTCCAGGTCGGCATCATCATTATGGCACTGAATACGATCTAAAGTCAGGTCGCTGACTTTATAGCGAAGATCGTTTCGAGTCGCCTATGTTGAAATATGTTCTCGACCTCTTTGCAAGCAGGTCAAATCAACCATTATCTCTTCAAACGCATTGAGTCAAGGCATAATTATGTAGTTTCCAAGGTTCGATCCTCAAACCTTAAAAACTAGGGGACTTCTGTTATGCCTGAAAAAGTATGGCTGACGCAGAGCCTGATCAACGTAAATGGTCAGAGCCTAGGCGGATCCTACAGCCGTTCAAACGCTGCCATATCGCATGCTGGCGTGAGCAGCATGCTCCTGCCAGTGTAGTGGGTGTGCGCTAGACTGACGAAAGGCTGGAGGCCGTCCACGTGTCCAACCCCTGTACTAAACGAGGAAATCACTCAAATGGGTGAGCAACGGGACGCAAAGAAGGATTTGCACGATATTTGCCGCCTTTTTACGGATTATGTAATCATTACTCCAATTCATCCCACTACAAATAGAGAGCTCCTCTCCCGTTTGTAGGATTGGCTCATTTTTATTCTGTAATAGTTTATTCTCTCTTCTGTAATCACTCACGGGTCAGCTCGCTGAACGCGACCTTACCCTCCATATTAATATAATACCAGTGGACGTAGAAGTCGTTTGCTTAAGCATCCGAACCACTTTAAAACTTTGTTTCTCCACCTATTATTCATTTTCACTACCCCCATTCGCATGTGTCTTCTGGGTTAGCTCAATATTTCACACGTGCGTTTAGTTGGTGTCAAAATCACGCATCAACAGATTATGACTTGGTTTTCTATTTCTTATAAATAAACAAAAGATCCTAAAACTGGGGAACTCGAAGGTTTATCATTTGACGTTAATCTTTGTGATGCTGTAGCTACATGGGAACAGGTGAGTAGTGTTGCACCCGTTTAAAGGTTACCCATTTAATATACTTGTTTTACATTTGTATTATTCTTTAAAATTGATTTATTATTCAGTGAGGTTGTTGCTCAGGTGCGTAACAGTACCACAATTCTCACCAAGGAGTTCATCGATGCTTTGCCGACTGGCTGGGAGGAATATGCGTGGCGTAGGATTAATGAAGGAGTACTTCTGTAGTATTTTGCAAGTAAAGCAGGATTGTTGTCTTTTTAGTTTTGGAGATATTGAAAAATCAAATGGCTGCCTGCATTTGGGATAACCCATTAAGATAAAATGTTCCAGTATAAACTCAAGAATAATGTATTACTCAATAGAATACACCATAAGTTTCTCTGTGAATGCTCATTTTTGGATTTCTTGATGAATTAATATTTACTAGGTAGCCACATGTAGTTTGATGTGGTTCCTATTTTATTGCAGCAACCGCTGTCAGAATAAAACTTTACGCATGGAGAAACTTTCACTGCTACTTCCTGAAACGCCACCATATTTTCCCCGGCAGTTTGGCCGCTGTGCTGTTATTGGTCACTCAGGAGATCTTTTGAAAACAAGGTTTGGGAAGGAGGTAGATGGTTACGATGGTGTTATTAGAGAAAATGGAGCCCCCATCCAGGTTAGTCTACGACTAAAGCTCTTGATAAAGTTGTGGAGTTAGATGGTATGAGCACCAGCCCCCTCCTTATTAGACTCATTTCTTATGACTACATGCACACTAAAATTCTGATTTCTGCAGAAGCAAGGAAGGAGGTCCTGATTGTTAAAACCACTATTCATGACATCATAAGCAAGATGATACGGGTACATATGTTGTTCTCATGTAGCCTCTCTGTAGGATACTAGAATTGATTTTTCTCTGCAAACTAGTGCTTTCTTGTGGCAGCAGATGTAAACACTTTTATAGGTTTGGAAATGCATTTTGTGTGTGGAATGGCTAAAACCTAAACCCTATGTGTTAAAAAATTATGCTCAAGTTTTGAAAATTTATTTGTTTCCAGTTGTCCTCATCTTTAATTTATATATTCACCTCCTCATCTTGGATTCCTTCTCTTTTATTAGTGTTCATGATGTTTATAATGTGGATTCACAGCTTTTTTTTTTCTCTTTCAATGGTCAGTACTGATGTAATCTATATTCATTATTGTATGTTTCTACCACAACTCCTTGGACATTGCTAATTGAACTTCTGTGTATTGACTGCTCGACCACATAGTATGTTTTTGGAATTTGTGATTGTCAATCATGATGTATTCTTGCATTAATCTGTTTGGTGGTTGTCCACATACACAGCCTCTAAATCCCTATTGTTTTTGCCTCCAAATTTCAAGCCTTTTGATGGACTAGAGGCTTTGAGAAGTTCTTTTCATTCATTACAAGCCTTTTGTTTTTAATTCCTTTTATATATGGTTTTCTCGACTGCAGGAAATTCCTATTAAAAATCCTGTATATCTCATGCTAGGTGCATCCTTTGTTTCAGCAGCAAAGGGAACTGGGCTCAAGGCTCTTGAGTTTGCTCTCTCTATATGTGATTCGGTAGATATGTACGGTTTCACTGTGGATCCAAGATATTAAGAATGGTATTAGATGTTCTATCAACTATTGGTCCCATCAATTTTAATTTCTCTCGGATTTATCTGTTTATCTGAGCAAGGGACTTTATGATATTCTTGCAGGACAAGGTATTTCTCTGAATCTCGACAGGGTCATACTCCTCTGCATGGTAGGGCTTACTACCAGATGATGGAGTGTTTGGGTGTCAGTCTTGAACATCTTTCTTTCTCTTTCTCACATAATGTAGCTTTTATATAAGTTCAATATATCTAAAATCAGGAAGTTGGTTCAAAAGGAAGTCTTTGACATATTCTGTTGGTAGGGACATCAACTCGGCATCAATGGATCCCATTTAGTTTTATCCAGGGGATTGTTCTAATTGTCCATTATAATTACGCATTACTTTTTGATATATCATGGAATTGTTCGGAAACATAGAACATATATAGTGCTCCCTTTTAATATATGTGGGATCCCCTCATTTCTTACTAATTGGCAAACTATCTTTTGCTCTTTCTCTTATGAAGCTTATCAAAATCCATTCTCCCATGCGAGCTGATCCTAACCGTGTTGTGAAGTGGGTACCAAGCCGTGGAGTGATTAGAGCTGCTCGAGTAGCATCTGAGAAATTGTTGAGGTAAGTCATCTTTATTTATTTATATCATGCAGTTGTTATCCCTCAGTCAAAATTGCAATTCTAAGTTTGTTTTAAGTTTCTTACCAGCAAAAATAGTTGAGATTCTGTTTATAGTTTTATGTGATTTAAGTCAACTGGCCTTGTTTTAGGTTGTGTGGAACAGTTTGAGTAAATTGATTATATCAATCATTTAATATTAATAGAATTGAACAAAAGGGTGAAAGTAAAAAGGAGAAAAATTGTCCATGGTGACCAGAAAATGCACGCTTTCCCATCTTGATTTTTTACTGTATCAAAAACCTCTATATATATATATATTAGATTATCTGAAAATTTAACAAATTCTTCTACACTGTTAGAGTTGTGCAGAGCATTATGAGTAGGTTTTATTTACTTCTTGGACATGCAATAAATGTTCCTTTTAATGCCTGTAGAATAGTTGGGGCCGGGGTTCATTAATAAAGAAGGGAATTAAACATAAGCCTACTTCAATTTCAAGTCTCAGAAAGGCCGCTATTGACAATCAAAAATCTGTGAAAGGCACAACCATGTACTCATGTAGTGTACCCTTTGGAGCATAGCCCCGGACATGGTCAGCTTTGCATGATGGTAGCCAATTGAATCTGAGACAACCGAAGTTATTCTTCCTAATGATGAGCCAGCTGCACAAATTTGCGAAGTTCTTATATGATTACAGGCCTAAACACGAGTTAATGGATATGAAAAGGTTGCTACAGTTTTTTTTTTTTTTTTTTTCAGTTCAGAAAGTGTTAAGTTTTTCATGCCCCCTTCAATTTTTGCAGATCCATTTCCCGTACTCAATGAGAAAAATATAGGTTGAGATAAAACACTACTGAAAATCAAGATATTCAATTTGCTTGTGTCAGACCAAGCTATTATTTCTATTTAATCTTTGATTGATACCAGAATTTTTTACTGGTGAAAAGAAATTTCTACAATATTAAAGAGATGTAAGCGTGTATACTAAAGACTAAAGAGCTTCTTGCAAGTATGTTGTAAAACTTGTACACATACATTAATAATACGCATTTTGCAAATGTGGAGGCAAAAAATTCAGAGCAGGCATGTATCTTTTTCCATTTGTTTTTTGTTTTCACATAATCAAAATATATTGTATTTGGATAATGGTATTGTTAGTGGGTGGTTGAGAAACAAAAAAGAAACCAGTTTTAGAAGAGAATTTTGGACGGATTCTGTAATTTTGATATGTATTTATTTTGAGAAATCGGACAATTAGAGTGCCAGAGAGGCCTCAATATTAGCATTTATGTTTTTAATGGAGAAATAAAGTTGAAGAATGAAGGACCACTATCAATTAATAACAGCTTAATAGGAAGGGTGAGTGAGTTCACAGCAAGTTTAAGGGCGTAATATGTGAAGAACGGGCACGCGTCCAATAGCTAACAAAACAATTAACACTCGGTTGTTTCATTCCGCTCTTTTAACTATTCAGTCACTCCCACTCGACCCAACTCCGAAACTCTTTTTCCTTTTTCTCTCCTCTTCCTCTCAGAAAACAAATGAAATCCTCGTTTTGCCTTTTGTTTTAATTTATTCACCAAAACCTAGGGGTTTTTTTTTTTTTTTTTTTAATATATTTTTAAAGTTAGGTTAAGTGACAAAGTGACAACCACTAATTTAAGAAGAGAAGATATTTCTCCTCTCTCTATTTCTTTTAAATGGGGGAGCCGCCGGAGGGTCAATTAAACGGTGTCGTATCAGGGGGAGGAGGGGGAGGAGCTGGAACCATGTTGGTACCTTCATCTGAGACCGTTGGATCAAAGCGTCAGCGAAGGCCAAGCGTCAGATTAGGTGATATTGGTGGTGACCTCCATCACCACCAACCGTACGATTCGCACGTTAGAAGAACCACCCTCGGCGCCACCACTACCACCGTCGCTAACTCCAACAAACAATTCAAGCACCACCATATGACTGCTCTCGATCACAAAAGAGAGGCAAGTAAGTCTTCGAAGACTCGAGCTTTAACCAATTTAAGTGCGAATTCTGGTGAATTGACTGAAACACTAGATGAAAATCTTGATAGTATTGCAAGTGGGAGCTGGAAAGTAAAGGATTCGAAGAAACGAGGATCTGCGAAGAGGGTTAGGTCTAATTGGGTATCCAAAAACAATGAAACCCTAGGGGATAAAAATAACAATAACAACAGCAACGATAATGTTAATAACCACTTTGAAGGAGATGAAAAATATAGCGGAGGAGATGATATGGAAGATGGGTATCGTGGCTTTGATATGGAAAACTCGGAGAGTCCTTTAAAAGAACACAGCCCTGTTCATTCTCTCGAGAATTTAGCGGTTGATGGGCATGAAAGGGAGGTTCTTTATTACAATAGGAGAGGAATCTTCAGGGGTAATAGGGAAGTGAATGATGGGGTGGAGTTGTCTGGGCCATCCGATAATGATGTAAGGGATTGGAATAGGGGTGGGAGTGAAGATGGAGTGAGGATTTGGTTGAATAGTTTAGGGTTGGGGAGATACGCACCAGTTTTTGAGATACATGAGGTAGATGATGAGGTATTGCCAATGTTGACATTGGAGGATTTAAAGGATATGGGGATAAATGCTGTGGGGTCGAGGAGGAAGATGTATTGCGCGATACAGAAGCTGGGAAAAGGGTTTTCATGAAGTTTTGGTTGGTGGGATTGTAGTATTTGAGGAAATATTTAGTTGTCAGCCATGGCAATGTAAGGTGCAATGCAATGTCTGAACTACTTTGAGCTTTTTAGGTTTTTATTTCCTAATGTGGTTCTAGTAGTAGTTTTTTTTTTTTGAATAGTCGGCTCATTTCTTAGTGGTTTTAATTTTGCTCTATATATATGTTTTAATCCAGTGCAATTTTCTAGTATATAGTATTATGATGGATTTGCTGAAGTAGTTTTGGTTATGAATGCTTATAAGTTTGGTCTAATATGAGGAATATATCTAGTTTCATATGGTTTTTGGGGAGAATGAAGAAAAGGAATATGCTTAAGAAGGGAGCTAATAAACTGTTTTCACGTATTCCTTTCTCATTCTTTCCAACTGTGAAATGAAATATTGTTGGAGAACTAACTTGTTCGAGTTAGATATGATTTTCTCATTCATAAGGAAAGTTTTTAGCTTAACTGAAGCCATTAAACGTTGAGTGGCATCCTGTGCTCTATTATGAGAGTTAAGTATCTAATTAGATGTAAATAAGATACTGTTTTATTTTGTCATACTTTGAGGGAGCTATCTATATTAAACAGTTGTGGAAATTAATATTCTGCTGTGCCTATCATGTTAAAACAACTTCAATGGTGTCTATACCCTCATCTCATCTAAATTTGATATTGTTGGACCCATATCAACTTAGTTAGCCCGCAATTCTGTGTTCACCATGGAAGTAGTGGCTTTTTGATGGTTGATGATAACAACATTTGATTTTTGATGACTGACTTTTGTTCATGAGGTGCATGTAATGTTCAGATGATATTTATTTACTGTACTTCAATTAGGAGTTATATGCATATATTTAGTATTTGTGGTTATTTGGGAGAGAATATGTATGAGGGAACGAACACTTTGTGCAACTCTTTTCTGAGATTGAGATACACATCTTAGACGTTCTATAATACAAAGGTTCCCATCATGTTGGGAATGCACTTCTGGAAGTTGTCATCGATTAACTTTGTCAGCTTGTAATGGATCCCTGCTCACCAAATTTGGAACTTGGAACTTTGTTAGCAGTCAACACTGATAGTATAGGAAAGCTTCGGTATAGCCATCCAAGTGTTTAAATATACTGAGATGCTATAGTCAGTTTCCTGATCATCTTCCTGGAAGAAGGATTATTGAATCTGGGAGATTTGCAGATGCAGAGCAATTTTGAAAACCCAAATTTTGCTTTTCCTTTGAACTCTCTTTTGATAGCTGCATTTGATTTTTTCTTTTAAGAAGTATAGGTTTATCAAAAAATATATAATCCATTTGGTTGTGGAAACCTCATGAATTGATCATTCAATGTTCAAAATGTTGTGTTGCTGCTGAAGGCTTATGGTGTTTCTTATTAAGTTAAATTTGTCTTGGTTACTCATTTCTTATAAGAAAATTGGTAACTAATAACTATAGTTTTTTAACTTGTGAGTGTAAAATTTAAATGGAAACTTGTCCCATTTAAACCAGAAAGTAGTAACATCTTGTAGTGTGCATTGGGTTCTTGATAATCTGATGCAAGACGTTGTTCAATGTGTTTTGAATGTACTTATGTTCATTTGTTAGTTTAGTTTTTAAACTCATTCGAGGAAAAGATATATGATTATTTAAATCTTCTTGTAAACCATGAATGGGAGCATTCTGGTTCAGTCTTTCTCAATGGGAAAGGGATGTGGAAGAATGAATGTTTCTGTTGACATTACTATCCCTAAGGCTAATGGAATTGCATGAATGTTTAATGCCTGGTTAGTGAGAATGGAGATGATAAACAGAAAAGTGAGCTGTTCTCGTTGTTCCTGGGAATGTATTATGTCTAGGCTGATAGATGATATTTAGTTATGGCACTCTTTCATTTGTTGATCAGCATTTTTGTCATTTTAACTTGAAATGCTAAGTAGATCCTTTATGTCATGAAAATATCCACTAATGCAATGGTTAAGGATTTCTACTCTCACTGCCAATGGTGCCCAATTTCTGCATGCATAAAATTCTTCCAGGATATATGGCTCTATTTGTTTGGGATCTGGGAATTCCCGAGAGTTTAATCTTCATGCATTCCGTTGAAAAACAATGATAATTTACAGGCGTACTACTGAGTTGCGATCCCTAATTGGTTGGTGATCTAATTAGGTCTTTGGTACTGGGACTTGAATCAAATCATCTAAACAATGAAATTTAACAGTTGATGTGAAAGTGAGTGTCTAATTGTAATGCGTATTCTCACCAGTTATGTTTAGTTGCTCTAACTGATCTGTGCGGTGTTTAGAGGCTTTTTGTTCAAAAACATTCACGAGTAAAAAAAAAAATAATAATAATTATCCGACAGTCGTAACATATCAGTGAAAAATAATAAAAAAATTTAAACATTTACCCGACGAGTTGAGTTTGAAGTCTTGAGAGCTCTTCTATGTCATCTGCCAGACATGAAAATACAAAATTCTTCACTGCTTATTGTTGTTTTACAGACAGAATTATTTATAATCCTCGTTATTTTACGTCAAGATGTGTTTGAGGAGCTCGCGAAAATTTTAGAGATATTATGCCACATAATAAAACATTAGAGGAGGATGATTACCTCCAAAGAACCTCAGGGTCAGAGTCTATGTTCTACGACTCTATTTTGAAGTAGTGTTGGTAGTTTTTTAGGCCCTATAAGTTGACAACAAAAGTGACGAAGTCATAAATAACCAAGCTGGATATTAAAACATGAAGCCCATTCATCTAATTCCCCAATGTGCCGACAACTTGAAAACCAGCAACTGTGTCAGTCATCAGCCTCCAAATTACAAGCAAATAAATATCCAAATCAAATGATTCAAGAACATATCCAAATTTGCTACGGAAGATTAATTCATATTCATAATGCAAATGTTGTCAATTATTTAAAAAAAAAAAGAAGCTATAGTCAGTTGCAATCAAACTATATGACCAAAGACAAACATAAACTTTCACAATTTATATAGAGATATTTAGAACTATGCTTTAAATTTTAATCCAAAACATGAATATGTAATATGCATTGAAATTAATGTAGAATACGAAATGACCAACCTGGTGGTCGTGGATGATATGGTTTGGAATGTAAAATGATGAGTGAGTGAATTGATGGAAGAGACATTGGTCTAGCATGAAAGATGAGAGCTAGTCAGCTAGCCCAGGATGCTTGCACAAATGTAAACCACAAAAGGGCTCTTAACTACATTTCAAACCCTTAAAGTAAGAAAATTTAGGCAAGTCATCCTTGGCTAGCAGGCAACATCAACAAGCTCTTCATCTACATACAAGACCTCTCTTCCTCTTCAAATTGGAGGAGTTACTCTGTGATATTTCTTCATTACCAAACCTCTATTTATAACCTCCCACCCAGATGTTATTGACTTTTGTTATGAGAATATTAGATTCCATTTGTATGCTGCAAATTAAGTTAGCTCTCTTTAGCTACCAAGTCTTGCTTTATTTTCATTTATTCATCATTTAACATATATAAGCCTATAGTATTACAGAATATATTCTTGTGAATACAAGGGACCAACAATTTCCATAATCATGAATATGGTGTTTTGATGAGAAAATAAATTAAGAATAATGTAGAAATATAGCGATGTTATTATCAGGTGAAAAGATTAATTAAAGGAGAAAAAAAAAGTGGGGAATTTTGCTAAGTGCAGTCTTGGAGAGTCCACGTAGCAACTTGCACTGAATAAGTTCATTCGACCTTTTCACTCTTTCAAAGGATGAAATCGACTTCTATATTCATCAATACATATGTCTTGTCGAATTATTCTCCTTCTCCCTACTTCCATGCAAGTTTTGAAGTTGAAACACCCATACACAACCTCTCACCAATCAGGTTTATCACAACACAAATTTAATTTGAAATCAGAACAAAATACTTTGGCTCCAACAATAACTCCTGTCCTGCGCATACAAACTCATTTTTCTCTTCAGTTATGTTTATTATGACATAATTTCATGTTGATCAGAAAATAGGTCTAGCTCGATTTAACTAATTATCACATGTTAAAACTTTTATGACCATTGTAAGGAATAATATTTGACCAAAATAAAAGGAAAAATCAATTTGAATCAGTGAACCAGAATTCATTCAACAAAGTTGAGTTAACAGATTGTCAATGCAACAGGAAAAAGATAAAAATAGATCAGTCATTTGTTCTTGACCAGCCACCCTTTTAAGACTTGAAAGCTGGATTTAAATGTTCTAGATACTAAAAGCAACTAATGGCATTTGCCCACGTCAAGAGATAATGTCAATCAATGCCTTTGATTCTTGTGTGTCTGACTTTGATGAGATAGATCAGTATCAATATCAATATCACATTCACATCATGTTTTCAACTATATATTATTAATTTTCTTATCAATCTAAATGCACGGGGAATTCTTTTCTCCCTTAATATTCCAAGCTTTCTTTAATAATAAAGCAACACCCCAAATTCCTTCACATGCATTTGAACTTTATGCTTCTGGTTCTTCTACTAATGGGATAAGAAGAATGATACAGTAACTGACTATAATTGGAATAGTGTATGCATCCCATCATTGTCTTTGAGTATCCTTTGTTACTTCGGCCTTTTCCGTTTCCGAATAAGAAACTTGTGTATTTGGTATGAGATTTATCTATGAAGTTTTAACGATGATCCAAATATAGAGGTTGACAGTATTAAAAATTATTTTAAAAAATAATAATGAATGAACCAAATTAACAGCCGGAAGAAACCCAGATCGTAGCAAGGCAGGAGGGTGTTGCCCTCTTACACAGCTATTGTGTTTGTGACACTCATAGCTAGCTTCCACCTGGAAATAGTCATAAAATTATATACATTATTGAGGTACTCAAAAACCAGACCAGTTTTGTTGGGCTCACATGGACTTTATCTATATAAGCAGGCCCAGTTCAGTCATCAGTTTTATTTAATGCAATTATTGGGTAGATTTGATTCACTTTCGAAGCAAACTTCCTTAACAACCCTGAACGATGACCTTTAGGGGACTGTATTTAGCTCACATTATTATGGTTAATTAACCATAGTTGATAGTAACCAAAGTAACTAATTCAACCAACTAAACTAAACTCTTAACTATACCCATCTATATTAACTACTATCGAACTACTAACAAATTATACATCAAAAAACATTATACATCAAGAAGAGAAAATAATAATAAACCAAGACTCTGTAATGGAATAATAAATCAGCCCCAAACAAAAAACAAATGAATCCCAATTCACAACAGGCATGGATCTTATGAATAATTAAAGTTTTACTTCAATTTATGATATAATTGATCAAGTCAACACCAGTTGCAAAAAAACAACTCAATCATTGAACCCATATTTACGTTTTTGTTTCTTCTTTCTTGATGAATAAAATTGGTAGTTGAAATTAAGTAAGCATACATTTAAGAAAACAATAAATCGATTAATTTATTAGTCTTTAGCATCGATCCTAATCTGCAGGCCATGCATATTTTAATAATGTACTTCAACTCCTGACTAAGTAAACTTCTAGAATTAGAAACCCACCTAACAATTGACTTACTAACCATTTATTAAAGTAATTTAATCGTGAATTAATCTCATATATATGTGGCTACCTATTTCAATTCATCCTAAGCATTTATAAGGGCTCTTTTATTGTAAATCAATTGAAGGTGAGAAACAACCAAAACGGATCAAATCAACCCAAGGAATTTAATATATATGTTTTTTTTTTTTTTTTAATCGGGGTGTTTAGTCTAGTTTGTGTATACTTTAACTAATCTTTTAAGGTCCTGAAATGAATGGCGAGATAAATTTTCTCAGTAATCACGTCTATTAATGTCTGATAGGACTCAAATTCAAAAACTCATGTTAGATCACTTTACTCTTTTACCATAGACATTAATACATATATGTTGTTGACTAAATCTATCAATTGAAGAAATTTCATTTTTATTATTTTAAAATTAGGGTTTATGATGTAGGAAAAAAAATTAATAACAAAATATTAATTCTAGATTTAAATAAGTTTTGTATAGAATATTTTACGTTGTGTCTAATTTAGTAATTTGCAAAGTATAAGACTGTAACAAAGAAGAAAATAATAATTGGGGTCTAGTAAGATAATATATGAATCGTGAATAGTATCACTGTTAATCATAATTATTAAAAAGGCAATATTATATTTATAAACAAAAGATCCAAAATTTGTAATCAGAATACGATATGATTTATTTATATGGAAAAAAAAAACACATTATCCTATTATTCATATATTATTATTAAAAAATTGGGATATTAATTTGACTTTCATAGAAGTTTAATTCACATGGGTTAAAGACATGAGGACCAGACTTGCAGTTGCAGCAACGAAGAAGTCTTCAACGTGTTTGTTACTATCTCGGCCCAAGTTTTGTATTTCACATCAAAACAATCTCCCCGCCGACTCTCGTTTACCTTGCATGAGAATGAGATCTTTATTTCAATCACCCACACAATAATTGCACAAAATATAAAATAATAAAAGACCATGCCTAAGGATATCACTAATAAATTCCCTGCAATTAAAGGCCTCAAAAGAAGAAAAACAATGATGCATTCACTATCAAATGATTGGTTTAAAACCCAACTACTAAGCTGTGACTGGTTAAATCCGACGGCTATAAACAAGTTGTGAGAACATTTTTGAGGGGGTGGACTTTGGCAGATAGCTATCGCTATCCTACCTGTCACTACCCTCATAAAGGTTACCTTATTATTATTGGAAAAGGATAGACCCCACCTCCACTATTTTTTTCATTCATTTACTTACTCTCGGCCCTCCGATTCTGATTTTCTAATCACGACCTTTTTGGCTGATTGTCGATAGCCTGTCTTACCCGCGTTAATTAGCGGTGTTAAGCACGGCTCAATTAAGGATGCCTCGGACAGTGGGACTGGGACCAGGACCATGTTTCCTGCCAAGTTCCAAAGCTTTACACCTGGCACGCCCAGTGTTTATACAAGACTAGTACTTTTTTGGCCTTTTTTCCCCCTTATAAAAAGAGGTTAGGCTTAGGTTGGAGAAAAGCAAGGATAGATTTTCAATTCAATTAGTTATGGAGTGTCCTATGGGATTGATGATGTGATGTGATAATATATATACAAAGACAACTTTTTTTATTAATAGTAATAAAGTCAATGGATTAATAATTAATTAAGTGTTTGATGAAATAAAACATTTCAGTTTCTGAAATTTGATTACTTAATAAAATATTTTAAAGATTACCATATTTAGTATTTTTTTGATTCAAACCAAACAAAACATTTTTCCAAAAAGTAAAGTTATGAAAGATAAGTAAAATAATAGTCTTGTTAATTGATGGTAAATAAAGTAGATTATCAATTACCTGGAACCAATCATCTAAGATTTATACAACGCTAAAATCATTTATAGATATATATATCTAACATTATCGAAATTTGTAGTTTATCTTAGGCTATATGATTTTTCAAAAAACTTATCTTTTCTATATATATTAATTTTTGTTCTTACACAATCAATTAATTTAAAATTAAGTTTACACAAGTGAACCTAAGAGTGTTGTTATTTAAGCCGCGCTGGAATTCATTTTAAAATTTTAAAATCAATTACAAAAAGATGAAAGAAAATTTATTCCAAAATTATAAGTAAACTTGGAATTTTTAGGATTGATTTGCCCTTTTTACATGACATAAGCGTGATATTAATTAATTGTTATATAAATCATAGATAGAGTAAACGACATGTTCCCACCCAAGGTTTAGCAAAAACCCAAGTTACCACCCCTGGTTTCATAAATTTCATATTTTCACCCTTAAATTAATAGAAAAACATTTAATTTAACGAACAAACGGTAGAATGGTCATTTACGCGCAATAAATCTAAAATAAAAATAAAAATTTCAAAACAATCCTCCATATCTTAAATTTTTCTCAAAAGCATCCTCTCTCTAACATTTCTCTCATGGCGACTAGACTTGGCCTTTGCGTGGGCTAAAAAGCAGTGGCCAAATGGCTGCTTCTTGGCCCTCACAGTGGCCAGAATTTGGCTGTCGCATAAGGGCTTTGTGGTCGCAAAATCCAGCCACCACAAGACCCTCATGTGGCATCCAAAATCTGGCCATCACAAGGGCCAAGAAGCAGTAGCCAAATGGTTGCTTCTTGGCCCTCACGGTGGCCAGATTTTAGCAATCACAACTTGGGGTGGTGGGGATTTTAGAGAGGGGATGCCGATGGATCAAAAGGTGGTGTTGGGGTGGGTTTTTGTCGTCTAAATTGGCCGAAAATCGACAAGAAGCGTGCTATTCCACTGAGCGACGACTAACGATTTGGCGGTGTAGAGGGGTGGAGATGATGGGGGTTTGATAAGGGAGATGAGGGAATGTGTTTCGTGGTGTTAGGGTGTTCCAAAGACGTCAGAATCAAGCCAATTTGGCCAAAAAAAAGGGCAATCGCAAGGCGGAGGAGGTCACTAGTGGCGGGCACAAATCCAATGCAATTGGGTTAAATTTTGGTCAAAGGGGGGACCTAGGGGAGTTTGAACAGTGCTGGTGGAGAGATTTCTACTGAGTTTGGCGGATTTTCTGGCGAGGAAGCAACCAAAATGACCATTGGAATTGATGAATCCATGGGTGGGTTTTGTCAAGGGCAATAGGGTAATAGCACTCAACAGTCACTCACGTTCATTTAAGGGTGGGAATATGGGATTTATGAAACAGGGTAGTCACTTTTAATTTGACTAAACCTTGGGTGGGAACTCGTTTACTCTCATAGATAATCAAGTAGCACAGCATGAGACGGCAGTGAAGTGATAAGCACGCTCATAAGCTGCGTCTCATATTCAATTCTCATTGTCTCTATCTATTTCTTCCTTCACCTCCGTTTTACACTCTCTCTAGCCTACTTAGACTCTAAACCCTAACCTTTTTCTCTGTCCATTCATCACTTTATTATATCAATCAATCAAAACATTTTGATTTTGAGCCAAAAAAAGAAGAAATATAGCCGGTGTTTACCGCCATGAAAGTACCAGAAACCGACCCTATCACTTTCTCAACGCACCTGGTCTCTTCGTCGCTTGACCAAATCCCACTCATTAACAACTTCAGAGGCAAATGGGCTATCATCAAAACGAAACTCCTCGATCTCCAAACTCAACTTCAAGATTTCAGCGACTTTTCAACTGCTACCTCCAATCCACTCTGTCTCGACCATCTTTACTCCGTCTCTCACACCCTCAACGATGCCGTTTCCCTCGCTCAGAAATGTCAAAGCGTTAATTTAACAGAAGGCAAGCTCAAGACCCAGAGTGATATTGACTCTGTTTTGGCCAAATTAGATCGACACGTCAAAGACGGCGACGTTTTGATTAAAAGTGGGGTTCTCCAAGATGGTGCCGTTTTGTCAGCTTCTGCTTCGAAGAGGGAGACTGTGAGAGCTGAGTCGAGGAATTTGATAACTCGGTTGCAGATTGGGACCACCGACTCGAAGAACTCGGCGATGGACGCACTGTTGGCGATTTTACTAGAAGATGATAAGAATGTAATGATAGCAGTGGCTCAAGGTGTGGTACCGGTTCTTGTTAAGTTATTGGACTCAAGCTCCTTAGAAATGAAAGAGAAAACCGTTGCTGCGGTTTCTAGGGTTTCGATGGTTGATAGTAGCAAACACGTGTTAATTGCTGAAGGTTTGTTGCTGTTAAATCACTTGCTTCGTGTTCTTGAATCGGGAAGTGGGTTTGCAAAAGAAAGAGCTTGTGTTGCTTTACAAGCTTTGAGTTATTCCAAAGAAAATGCCAGAGCAATTGGATGTAGAGGTGGAATTTCTTCTTTATTAGAGATTTGTCAAGCTGGGACGCCTGGTTCACAGGCTTTTGCAGCTGGGGTTTTGAGGAATCTTGCTGGGGTTTTTGAAATAAGGGATAATTTTATGGAGGAGAATGCTTTTGCGGTGCTTCTTGGCCTTGCGGCTTCTGGGACTGCAATTGCACAAGAAAATGCAATTGGGTGTTTGTGTAATTTGGTTTCCGATGATGAAAGTTTGAAGCTTTTGATTGTTAAAGAAGGAGGGATTGAGTCTTTGAAGAATTATTGGGATTCAGTTGCAAATGATAGGAGTCTTGAAGTGGCTGTTGAGTTGGTAAGGCATTTGTCTTCTTGTCATCCCATTGCTGAAGTTTTAGTTTCTGATGGGTTTGTTGTTAGGCTTGTGAATGCGTTGAATTCTGAGGTTTTAGGTGTGAGAATTGCGGCTGCTCGAGCTGTTTATGAGATGGGGATTAGTTCTAAGATAAGGAAAGAACTGGGTGAATGTGGGTGCATTGGACCTTTGATTAAGATGCTGGATCGTAAGGCTGTGGAAGAGAAAGAAGCTTCTGCAAAAGCATTGTCAACACTTGTGTTGTATACAGGAAATAGACGAGTTCTTCGCAAGGATGAGAGAGGGATATTAAGCGTAGTTCAGTTGTTGGATCCTCTGATTCAAAATTTGGATAAGAAATACGCCGTTGCTATATTGGCTGCTCTTCTTCATTGTAAGAAGTGTAGGAAACAAATGGTTGCTGCCGGTGCTAATGTACACTTGCAGAAACTTGTTGAAATGGATGTTGAGGGCGCTAAGAAGCTTTCGGAAAGTCTTGGCCGTGCTAAAATTTGGGGTGTTTTTGCTCGGCCGTGAAAATTGAAGAGATCTTCAACTTATGGAACAAATTACAAGGACGATTCATTGATCCATATTTATGATAATTGTGTTTACTTTGATTTCTTGTTTTTTCATTACTTGTTCTTTTTTGTCCATATTGCTTGTTAATTTGTGTAGTAGTAAATGTTGCTAGTCAAATTGCCAATGAATACCTTTTATGTAGAGACATAATCTTGGTTTAGTGATCTAATTGGATTGAGATACTTGTTTTTAACGCAGACGTGGTGATAATTCGTTCTACATCATCTCGAGCTTGTACTTCTGCTTTTTCTGTACCATACAGTGATATTGTGATCTCAGTGAAAATGCCTAGTATGACTGATAGTTAATAGAGCAGATTATTTTTCTTGCTAATCATTTCCTATTCAATGCTTTGTTTTTATGTAACTTGATAATTTGAAACGGCTAGTTCTTTCTTCTGTATGGGAAGATTTCTTCTATTGTTTCCTCGATTCAGGCAGGACACCACCTGAAGATGACTTCCAACTCTTCTCAGAGGCGACCAACTGATTTATTCCTTAATTAACCTAGTGCATACAGAGGAAGAGGCATCTGAAACCTATCTGGGATGATTTTGTTAGAGATCTTTATCCTAAGAAAGCTGTGGAAGCTGTTACACCAGATTTACCTTCAGGATCTCTTCCGGTTACCTAGCTGATCACGATGTGTTCTGTTAGCTCATTTAGATTTTCTGTTATGCACTTAGTGATTCAAGTATTTAAAATTGATTTACTTATGGATGCTGATATTTCTGTCGTAATTCAAAATCTTGTAATCCTCTATATATATGAATATACACGGGAGCTGGTATCTAAAGGAACCAGATCTTATTTCCTTTCAATTCTGACTGATTTCTGGGGAATTCTGCTGATGGGAATTTTTAGGCCATTTCATCTTCAACTTGATTAACCTTTGTCATGATTGTGAATTATATTAGAATATTAATCTCGGACTATTTAATCATTTTGGTTCATTAGTTAAAGATTTTGATATCGTGTGGATTGCCTGTTATAATCCTCCAACAAACTTCTCTGTGGAACTGGTAATAAATTCATCTTCGCCTTGTCCATATTTTCTAGCGTCAATATTCTCGGTCCCAAATAATTAAACTCCATTTACATTAATATCGTTTGTTTTTCTCAATGGGTAGTGATAGATTGTCGCAATTATTTTAGACAAATTCGGTGGGATACACATATAATATGGAAGAGTATCTACAATTTATGGTTCTAAACCATGTGCATATGTTCCTGAGCATGTGCAATTGCTTGCATGTCTGTTGGCACCTAACAAGCAACTATTTTGTTTTCACTATTGGGTTTGCCCCAAACAACTACTACGCGGTTCAGTCCTCTTCGTCTTATTGTATGATAAAATGAGTAAAATTATCAGCTTTTGCTTTGTTGCAAATCCTAGTTGGAAAACAAAGGAGGCTTTGTTTGGTACAGGAGAATGATCTTAGGAAAAGGTTCCAGAATCAGTTCACGGATTAAGCATACGTGAAAAGTTGTGAGAAAAGGCGGCTTTATCTATGCTTAAAATATGTTTGCATTCTAAGATCATGTGGATACTAAAAGCTGTGTGAACACTGAACAGAATGTGAAAACACAAACAAACATTAAAAAGGTACTGCTGAGGGAAGCTTTTTCTTAATTCTTATTTATATGTTACTAGGTCCCAGTTGGTGAACAGACATAAAAAATGCTATGGTTACTGTACCTTTTTTTGACGAATGTCACGAGTGTTCATCTTTCTGTATCTGTAATTTCTATTTTTACTCTTCTTTCTGATCTTGTGGAGCAAGGTTGATTTGTTAAATAGATACTCTGTTTTCTTTTAATGAAAAAGAAGTACTTCATATTGGTTATGGTAATTCGGTTGTTTAGTACTCAGGAGAGATGAATCAACTCAAAAATTTCTTTTTTTTTTTTTTAATCGTAAGATTAAATGTGTTGAATGGTTGTTTAGAGTCGCGTAAACTTGTTTGTGATGATAATTCTATATTTGAGATTGAATCAAGTGTGAATTCAACGGTAGCCGTAATTTTATTTATTTTCTACAACTTAAAATTCATCATCTTGAGAAAGATACAATGCTCCTTAGTTGACTTGGTGTATATAAACTTCTCAATTGGATCTCTATTAGAATGGATATTAAGTTATATCATTGATAAATTTTTTTAATTAATTTATCGATGACAATTTAATAGTTAAAAATTAAAGTTATAATAATTATTTTTACGTCAATTCATCTCAATTATAAAATTTAAGATAACCCAGCCTCAACCAAATTAGATTTATATAACCATAAAATTTAATAACGTTATCAAATTGACCATTATGAATAATATCTTATAGTTACTCTCAATATCACCCATCTTCTTTTATCATACTCTTAATCTTTATTTTAAACCAAGGATATGGTTTGTTTTTTTAGTAATACTACGCTTACAACCTAATCTTATAATCTTCTCTTACAATCCCAACGTGACAACTAAGTTGGCAACTGTCACGTTAGCTCCTATCACACCTAAGATAGTAAATAACTTTGATTAAACACGAACTGTCGTTTTTTAGGAATGAACGACTTTTTTTTCATAAAGAGTGATTGTTCCTTAAGAAAGAACGATTATTTCTTATGAATGGAACATTTATTCTTTATAAATTAACTATCATTCGTTCTTAAGGAACGATCGTTCGTCTCTAAGGAATAACCGTTCATGTGTTAGTCAAAATTGTCAGTTGATATGGTAGTGTCAACTCTATTGATAAATTAAAATTGTAAGAGAAGATTGTAGGATTAAGTTGCAATTGTAGTATTTTTATTGTTTAGCAAATACAAGGGAGACATTTTGAGCTTTCTTAAAGAAGAGAAGAGCAGGGTGCCCACTCATTATGGGCTTAAATTTGTGCATGCACTCTCCATTCTATATTTAAGCCCACTGGGCCACGCTCGTAAACTAACTTTTTTGAAATTTTGGTTAGAGAGGTAGGGATTATTTAAGGAACTAGCGAACTTTTTGATATGGTAATCCATATCTTTTTAGGGGGGCATTAATTATCTCAAATTGTTTTAATATTTCAATTTTGTTTAAAAGAAAATGCTAACTTTGAATATTATGTATCAGTTATTTTTTAGCAGAGACAAATTTTCCTTTTTCATGTGGCCTAGAATTATGGTAAATTATAAGAATTTTTTTTTTTTTCTCTTTTTTGTGACTAGGGTGTTTAAGTTAATTTGTGTTTACCTCAATTAATCTTGAGATCCTAAAATTATATGGCTTTTACTACTTTATATTGGAGGCTAGAGGTAGAACTTCCTAAATTAAGTATTGAGTACTGCCATAAAACCATGAGTTTGAAAAAGTTAATGAAAACCCTTCTTTACAGAGGTTCAAATTTATCTTAATTATTGATAAATATATAGAAAAATTAAGATAAAATGTGTCATTCAAATGATAGACTGAAAAATCAATTCAATCCATCAATTTGGTGGTTGTCAGTTTGGAAAATAAAGTCAGACATTTTTAAGTCTACCCTCACCAACTAGTCATTTTCTTTATAAATTTCAGTGAAAGTCTACTAACATGAATACGTGAACGTAAAAGTTTTCCAAGTCTTTCATATTACTGTCTGTACAGGTTTTATTTTTCTTTCTCTCCGGTCTGCCAAAACTGCTAGTCAACTTTGCTAATTTCTGGACTTTCATAACCAGTAGTTGGGCGGCCAAGTAATAACTCACATTAAATATTTTGTTAAACGGACCCAAGAGTTTTGACTTTTAACAACATCGGAATTGTTTACACGACCTTTAATCAGAATTCTCTTTTGTCAGATTTTGTACGATAAATTACTAAAATTAATTAGGGGAAAATTGTACAAAATTGAGAATAATTAAAAATAATACTACACATACGTTATTTTCATACGATATTTTTCATACAATATTATATAGTAAGATATGGTTGGATAAAAGTTTAATTTTAACTTTAAATTAGCTAATCATATCTTGTCACATAACATTGTATAGGAAATATTATATAAAAATGATATATATGTAGTATTATTCAATAATTAATATAAAGTTGCGGCAAGATGAATGTCAGCAGAACCAGTTACAAACCAAAAAGTTTATATACAGTGTTATGTCTCAAAAATCACATTGATGTCAGTTTAACAAATGCCTAAAAGATAAAGTATATTAGATGTCAAACTCATATCGTCTCAAAGATATTTTATACCAATCGTATCTCACTTTAAGAGATAGACGAATGAAAACTCTTCATGTGTTAAGGCAACTTACAAAACACTCGTTACATTGACCTCAAAGGTATATAAAAAGGCACCCCTCTTCACGAAAAGAGAACGCTGGGGCAAATGAGAGTTAGACATAGATTTGAGCTTTATTATCTTTCTTTATAAACAAAGTTTTTCTTCATCTTTGTATGCCTTATGGGTAATATTTTAGAAATGGCTAGAGAATAGCAGAATAATAGTGGATGTAGGATTCGCTTTAGCATCCAAACCACTTTAAAAACCTCTCTTGCCAATCTTTTATTTATGTTTTCTGCAAACATATATAATCTCAGCACCATATTCAAATTTCATGAATCCATCACATGTAATTTCTAAGACTCTCTTAGTACTTTACACGTGCGAGTCGTTGGTGTCAAAATCCACTATCAATGGTTTGGTGGCCCATGCAGGTCTTGAAACTGCGTCCAAGCTCCCTAATCTTTAGCTACAGATCACTGATCTTTAGCCTCAGATGGCATGGTCAGATCGCAGATAGCACGTATCAAAGTTCTCAGATCGCGTGGCCAGATCACAGATCGCACACATCAGAGTTCTCGGATCACGTGGTCAGATCGCAGATCGCATGCATTAAAGTTCTCTGATGGCGTGGTCAGATCGCATACATCAAAGCTCTTAGATCAGATGGTCAGATTGCAGATCGCACGCATCAGAGTTCTCGGATCGTGTGGCTAGATCGCACACATCATAGTTCTCGGATCGCGTGGTCAGATCGCAGATCGAACGCATCAGAGTTCTCGGATCGCGTGGCCAGATGGCAGATCCCATGCATCAGAGTTCTCGGATTGCGTGGTCAGATCGTAGATTGCATGCATCAGAGTTCTCAGATCGCGTGGCCAAATCGCAGATCGCACGCATCAGTTCTTTGATCGCGTGGCCAAATCGTAGATCGCACGTATCATAGTTCTCAGATGGCAT